GTAAAGAGTGTGTCAAAATACGTTTTGGCTACGCCCATGAGTCCCTGCTGGTCATGCACTACAACATTGTCTTCATGGGTGAGCGTCTGTATAAGGTTAGTCTTTCTCCTTGCACTTGCTATGGCGTGAAAGTACTTAATGTTGCTATCACCATCCTTAACCCATAACAACTTTGACCATTGCTTCCAGAAGGATTTTGCCTGCATGATTAGTGTTGTTCAATTTTAGCAAAATTTGATATACACATATAAAGTGATATGAACTTTCAATCTAACGGTTGGATTTACAAAATTCACAATTAATATAAAGTTGTTGAGTTGTGTAATACTTAGTAAAAGTTACATCAGTGTTATTATAAACCTCCTCATGTATATATTATACCTATAAATTTTAATAAAATTAATATTACATCTTAAAGTAATTTTTTAAAAATATTTAATTAATATAATAATCACATAGTAGTTATTAAAACACATACACATACCATATATATTATTATAGTCATTTATATAACAATATGTAGGGGTGAGCAACGAGTGGGTTCGGGTGAAAAATGTTCAACCCGTTGTAAACCGACTTTGGAAAAATGTGACCCATATTCGACCGATAGAGCTTTCGATTTGAGGTAGTTCGGGTTGAAACGGATTCGAATTTGAGCGAGTGGGTATAATCGGGTTTGAGGTTTTTTGTAGACTAAGTTATCTTAATAAAGGTGAAGCTTAAAGCGTTAAAAAAATTATTTTTAAAATAGTGTACAAAAATAGAATGAAGGTGACAATAGATGGTTAAGTAGATTCGTAGATGGAACATTCACAAACTAAAGAAACAAAAATAAAAGATAACAAAATTCATAGTTGTTACATGCAAAAGAAATCTAAAAGATTACAAAACCTATAAAAACCACAGTCGTACAAGTTGTACTCAAAATAGAGACAGGAAGATGAAAAAGAAAGACAAAGAAAGAAACAAAAAAAAAACTCTAAAAATAGACTAGTGTGTTGAGAAATTGAATGAGGAAGGAGAAGACAAAAGAAATATCTAGGTTATGAGAAAAAGGAAAAAAAATAAGTTACAAATTAATGACTATATTAGGCTAAAACACTAATTTGGTCCCTTATAATAATTGTTTGTTTCAATTTAGTCTCACTTTTATTTTTGGTTTCAATTTGGTCTCAAACTAATTAATTGGTTTCAATTTGGTCCATTAAAAATTAATTGGTTTCAATTTGGGACTTCCGTCCAAATTATTTAAACGGAGTTAACTTTTGCTCACGTGGATGCCACGTAGATGCATACGTGGATACCACGTGGATGCCATGTGGATGACAATTTTTTTTAACATACCTGGACCCAGAACGGCCCGTTCTGAAACCAGAACGGGCCGTTCTGGTTTCTTTTTTGGTGTATTAATTTTGCATTCAGAACTGCCCGTTCCAAATGCAAAATTAACACACAAAAAGTGAAACCAGAACGGCCCGTTCCGGTTTCAGAACGGGCCGTTCCGGTTTTAACTTTTTTTTAAATTATAGAGATTAGAAATATATCTTAACCATTTAATTTCATGTAAATACTTGGTATTAATTTTGATTATTCAGGTATATTTATATGGTCAACATTAGCTTCTCTTATCTTTCTAGCTTTCACTATATATATATATATATTACTCTTTCAAGAGATGTGTGTGTGAAGGAAGAATTTTGCTTAAACTTTCTCAATATGAAATGTTTTGATGGCTTTTACCTTAATCTTGGCAGCTCCAACACTACAATCGCAGCTTTGGTCATTAATAGAATAAGACATCTTTTTGGAGGGTACATTAACAAATTAGATGTCATATCAGGACATTTAGAATATATCATCATTTGTTTATTCAAAGAAGGTACAAAATAAAAGGGATGGGTGATAACAAATGTTACACTAGATGGCAACATTGTAGGTTACTTTTTTTTCTTTATTTTATGTGGGCAAAGTCCTACGGAATGAGATCTAGAACAATTAGAAATAATGTAGTGGGCAAAAGAAAAAATAATTGGAATTAAAACTAAACTTTTAAAATATAGAGAGTAAAGTAAAAATTGGTATAAATTATAGAGATTAGAAATATATCTTAACCATTTAATTTCATGTAAATACTTGGTATTAATTTTGATTATTCAGGTATATTTATATGGTCAACATTAGCTTCTCTTATCTTTCTAGCTTTCACTATATATATATATATATTACTCTTTCAAGAGATGTGTGTGTGAAGGAAGAATTTTGCTTAAACTTTCTCAATATGAAATGTTTTGATGGCTTTTACCTTAATCTTGGCAGCTCCAACATAATTAAGTTGTACATTCAAAAGAATCCATGATATTATATTAATGTATTTACTTTTTTTTCTTTATTTTATGTGGGCAAAGTCCTACGGAATGAGATCTAGAACAATTAGAAATAATGTAGTGGGCAAAAGAAAAAATAATTGGAATTAAAACTAAACTTTTAAAATATAGAGAGTAAAGTATTCAAATGTAATAATTCATTAAATTTTAAATACTTATAAAAAAAGTTTTTAAAATATTTTTTAAAGACTGAAATTACTCAATTAAAACCTTATGGATCAAAATTGAAGGCACTATTCTCAGTTTTGGAACGGCCGTTCTGAATCCAGAACGGGCCGTTCTGAAGCACTTTTGATGTGTTAATTTTGCACCTGGAATGGGCCGTTCCGAATGCAAAACTAAAACACCAAAAGTGCAACCAGAACGACCTGTTCCAGTTTCAGAACGGGCCGTTCTGGGTCCAGGTGTTTTAAAAAAAATTGGCATCCATGTGGCATCCACGTATGCATCTAGGTGGCATCCACGTGGCTAAAAGTTAACTCCGTTTAAATAATTTAGACGGAAGTCCCACATTGAAATCAATTAATTAATTTGGGACTAAATTGAAACCAATTAATTAGTTTGGGACCAAATTGAAACCAAAAATTAAAGTGGGATTAAATTGAAACAAACAATTAATATAAGGGACCAAATTAGTGTTTTAGCCACTATATTATACTTGAAATAAAGACTTTTGAGTTTGGACCATTATTGTTTAGTTATACAAAAGTAAAAAAAATCTAAACTTATCTCATTTTCGGTTGGATTCAATTTTTAGCGGGTTTAAAAATTTAAAACCGAACCCACCCAATATAACCCGTATAAAATCAAAATTTTAGCCCGATTTATCCATAAGACCCGTCTGAACCCACCCAAAAATAATATTTTTTATCGAATTTTTCGGGTTCGGTTCGGATCTTGGTTTCATGCTCACCCCTAACAATATGACATATTTATTAATTATTAATGTGCTAAATAATCACATTCAAATTTCATCTTGTTTAAAATTAATTTTATTTTTGTTAACCAGAAAATATGTTATACAAAAATGCATTTGATTTATTGGTAAGTTTAAAACACATTACAAAAGATGATTAAGATAAGTCTCATTTTTGTCAAATTTTTAACTATCTCCATTTTGCCAAATGAACAATAAATGGTGCTAGAATTTGTCCGGTCTGAATTTTAAAATTATGAATTTATTATCTGTGTAGTATATTTTGAGTTATATTTTAAAATGGTTAATGTATTTATTTATTTAATTAATGTTTAAAAAATATTTTTTATATATAAAATATAAATTGTTATATTACGTTAGAGTATTTTTAATAACTTTTCTTTATTGAGAGGATTTTTATAAATGCAATTAACTTCATATATATATATTTTTTTATTTATCATAATTATTTATCATAAGTCTAAAATATAATTTATATATTTAAAAATATTTACTTATTCAAATTTTAAATATAATTTTTATATTTAAATATAGTATTTATTATATAGATAATTTATTTTAAATTTTCATTATATAATAAACATTTTACTTGTGCATTATACAGACTAAATACTAGTTATTTTAAACTAACTTATTCCTTGATACCAATGGATAAAAAAAACTTATTCCTTTATCAAATAAATATTTTATTTAATTGAGTCTTGTAAACTTAATCTTTTAAATTAAGTCTCATTTTATCTTTTGACTTGATTTTTTAAAATTGTTATCTTATTTTGTTAACCTAATGGTTTAATTTTAGGTAGTTTTGAGATACTGTCATTCTCATTATAAATAAAATAATTTCAAAAGGTTTTATAGAGGTCTTTTTACACATATTTATTATTTTCACTTAAAAATTTGCTAATTATGTTACTTTAGTTACTATTGGGAATATCTTGGGGGACTTAAGTATCATTTGGATAAATCCTTAGAGAGTATTATCTCAAATTATTTATTTTTATGATATACAAATTTTATATTAGAAGGTAAATAACAATTGGTGTGAAATATGTATGGAAGTTTCAACGTATAACTTGCTCGGTTGGTCAAAATTCGTGTCGAGCAAGCGTCAAAGGGCAGTATTGAAATTGACTCGATATTTTGATTTGGTATGTACTCCTGCATCTGATTGAAAAGAAACACTCCATGTCCCTCACTCGCGCACATTTTTTGGCATTCTGATCCTTGTGTATAAAATCGGTTAAATTAATATTCAAGTTTCTAAAAAAAAAAGAAGGCTTCGTAAACGTGGTTATCTTTCAATTTCAACATTTGATTTGATCAAACGATATCCAGCATGTACGAATAATCAAGGTCGATAAACGCGCAAATAATACATCTCACGGAGTTTATAAATATATAAGCATGTCACCAATTAAATTATATATAAAGCTCTTTAAATTATAAGATAAAGCTTCTTTTATATGGATGGGGGGGTTAGTCCGCTGGTTTTGGACTAATTGAAAAGCTTGGTGCTTAAGCTACGTTACCACTTACGCGGAGGCACGAGAATTATCTTAGCTAGCTGACATAAGCAGTGGCGAATGCTGATATTGATCGAGTCAACCCTTTACATTGCACTTTAGTTGAAGAAGACTTCAAACGAAAACATAAACAAGAAGAGAAAGGACATATACATATGCTGATAAAACTTTTGAGTTAATTATTCCGTTTGAAGAGTAAATCTTTTATACTCTTCCCACAAAAACTATTGTAATAAATCCAATAAAAAACTATGGTAAATAATATTATTGTATTAAATATAAAAGGAAAGACTACAGATATCTATGTAACATTAAAAGTATGTTTGGATTCACATCAATTTTAGCAGAAACAATTAATTACTTTTGCATTAATTTTGAGAAATTTTTTATGTAAATGGATGCAATAAGTTGAGGATGCCTTGCGTGGGTTTGGAGTTGAGAATTGTCCGTGGCACGTGGTTGGAAAAAGGAAACTCTGGTCTTCTTTCTGTGTTTGTCAAAAAAGTCCATATTTAATTTCTCTGTCTCCACCTCTGCTGGCTGCTGCAATTATATATATAGTGCTATATAAATCTCAAATGAGCGCGAAGAAGATACTATAGTACCTGACAGCCTAACTTGAAAGTGCGAGCGAAGCATAACATAAGTATATTCAACTAAGAGAAAAACATGACTGCGTCGATTAGCGAAAGGAGCAGAGTGATGGATGATCAGTCTTCTCTATCAAAGTGTCAATTGGAAAATATTCAATCAGCACTACTGGATCCACACAACCCCCAACATACGGCAGCACTTAAACTGCAAAAAGTATACAAAAGCTTCCGTACAAGAAGAAAGCTAGCCGATTGTGCAATTCTTATTGAACAAAGCTGGTACTTTATTTCCTGTAATGACAATCTCTGTCCTTCTTTACTAGAACCTTCATCAGTTTTAAGCATGTTTTAATTTTATCATTTGTTTTAATACAGGTGGAAGCTTTTAGATTTTGCCGAACTCAAACGCAGCTCCATATCTTTCTTCAACATTGACAAACATGAAACTGCCATTTCCCGTTGGTCTAGAGCTAGAACCAGGGCTGCCAAGGTAATTTTTGAATTCTGCTACTTTGGAGGTCTTATTACCTTCAATAAAGCTCTTTCCGAGGTCGAACTTTATAAATTTGAAGCTGTAAGAAAATTATTAACCATCTCTTTGTCATTGCAGGTTGGTAAAGGTTTATCGAAAGATGACAAAGCTCGAAAACTTGCTTTGCAACACTGGCTTGAAGCAGTTAGTCTATGCATCGATCATACTAATGCTTTATAGTTTATATACTTGTAAATTGACATGTCGATTATTCATTGATCATTATTTACTGAATTGATTTTAATGTGCATCAAACAGATTGATCCACGTCATCGGTATGGACACAATCTACACTTTTACTATGATAAATGGCTCAAGTCTCAGAGCAGAGAACCCTTTTTCTACTGGTAATATTCCTTGTAAAATATACTCGTGGGTTACAATTTAGGCTACTATTTCACATAGATCTTAGATCACCAGGGTTGAAATTAAGCTTATTCTTTAAAATTTCAGGTTAGATATTGGAGAAGGAAAGGAGGTAAATCTTGAGAAGTGCCCTCGATCTAAACTTCAACAGCAGTGTATTAAATACCTGGGCCCAGTAAGCATTCCTTCATTTATGTGAACATCCTCTCAGATATATATACTTTAACTATCTTTTATTTAATTTTTATTCATTGTTTTTCATTCCAGATGGAAAGATTGCCTTATGAAGTTGTTGTGGAAGATGGAAGGTTCTTCTACAGGCAATCAGGAAAGCTCGTTCACACTACTGGTGAAGGTGCACGAGCCAAGTGGATTTTTGTCCTTAGCACATCAAAGACCTTGTATGTTGGCAAGAAGAAGAAAGGTTCATTTCAGCATTCTAGCTTCTTGGCTGGAGGAGCCACATCTTGCGCTGGGAGACTAGTTATCGAACGTGGTGTGTTGAAGGTAAAAATCTAGAAAAAGACATAGTATAGCACTCTTTGCTGGATTCCTATTGCCATAAGTGGCTAATATTTGATATGATATGATCAATTAAATGATTTTATCGTCTCTTTTCAACAGGCAGTTTGGCCTCATAGTGGCCATTATCGTCCTACAGAGGAAAACTTCAAGGAATTTCTTTCGTTCCTTCTGGAGAGGGATGTGCACCTTTCTGATGTCAAGGTATCAGAATTTAAAGGCTTTGCATTCTTTCCTAGTGGTTAGATATGTTTGAACAATATAAAGGAAATTATATTCTCTATATGCAGATGAATTCAGTTGATGAGGAATATCACTCATCTGAAGAGGACTTCACCAAGAACATGAGTGGCTTGAAGGCTGAAGAGAAGGGCAATTTGATGGAAACTGAGAGGTCTTCTGCACCAGTGGGACCTAAGATGAGGCAATTCCAGATTTTTGGAAGAGAACTGACCAATCTTGAAATACCGAAAAGGGGTCATATGCCTGAAGTATTAGAGAATGAAAAAGAAGGTGATGGGAAGAGAATTAAGAGTTTCCAAATGGATTCTCCAGCAGGTGATCAAGAAACAGCACAAGCTTTTGCATCGGAAGTAGATCACACAATCACCAAGCAAAACTTTTCTGCTGATGATAGTCATGGAGGAACTGTTCCAAAAAAGTCAATACTTAAAAGGATTGCCTCACATAAAGAAATGAAATCATACCAATTGGGGAAACAGTTATCTTGCAAATGGACAACGGGAGCTGGACCTCGTATTGGCTGTGTGAGGGGCTACCCCTGCAAGCTTCAGTTCAGAGCCTTGGAACAAGTTTGCCTGTCCCCAAGAAGCGGTTGCCACTCTACATCATCCTTTGCTCCTAGAGTTTCAACTCCAATAAAAAATATATCACTTAAAAAGCTGCCTCGAGGAATTGAGCACAATTCTCCTTTGGTTAGAGGGATATCAGTGATACCAGTTATTCATATATACGACATGAGTGAATAGAATGCCCAATTCGTTTATTCCTTTGTGTAAATAGGAAACAGTACAGTGTACAGGAAACTTTTGTCACTCCTTTAAAATAGGAATTCTTTTGTATGCCACTAATGTAAAATATGGGATTCAATTCAAAGGGAACAACAAATTCAATGAAGTCATGAAAGCTGCTGCAGACCTTTATCCGTGGATTCGGTCATTATTGTTAATACTCCTTACATTTTTTTTCATAGTCATTTTGATATATTTTTTTTATTATTATTTTTTTAAAACTAATAACTTATTAATTTTTTTTTTCATTTTTACTTTTAATAATTAATGTATGTTTACTGAATAATGTATCTATTCATTTTTAATATACATATTTTTTCTCCAACCACCTAAAATATATAACAGGAAAATAGATAATAAATACTTTAAAAAACTAAAATATCAATTATTTTCTTAATTCTTATGCATAACCTTAAACGACAATGAAAAAAAATGGAGGGAGTAGTAATTTTAAGCGATCCCGATGTTATGTAGCCATCCTTTTTATAGAGAAATGTACGTTTTTGGTTTTAACCGCACTTGAATACGCGTTTTTCGACTAAATGCCTAATTTGGTCCCTCATAATAATTAAAAATTTTAATTTGGTCCCATTTTATTTTTTGTTTCAATTTAGTCCCCAATAATTTAAAAACACATCAATGTGGGACTTCCGTCCAAATTCCACAAATGGTGTTAAATGTGGACATCGTAGATGCCACGTAGATGCAACGGGTATAGTTCTACTTGTGTTAATTGTGCATCTGGAATGATCCGTTCTGATTTCAGAACGGCTCGTTCTGCTTGCCCGTTCCAAATGCACAATTAACACAAGCAGAACGGGCTGTTCTGATTTCAGAACGGGTCATTCCAGATGCAAAACTAACACAAGACATACGTATGCGACTATTAAAGGAGGAGGAAACCTTGCCACCTATGCATCTACGTGACATCCACGTCGTCCACATTTAATACCGTTTATAAAATTTGGACGAAAGTCCCATATTTATGCGTTTTTAAATTACTAGGGACTAAATTGAAACCAAAAAATAAAGTGAGACCAAATTAAATTTTTTAATTATTATGAGAGACTAAATTAGGTATTTAACCCGCGTTTTTCCAAGAAACATGGTAGGGATTTTGCTTCACATCACACAACAAAGTAGCCAGCGTTCACCAGTTCTTGGTGTAAGATCAATCTCTGTTTCTGCACGTGGGATTGAAACGTCGAAGATGTTCGGATGGGGTATAATGACTCTTTACGAAGGAAGGCCGGATTGATCAATGATGCGCGCAGGTAGATAACTCCCAGTTTTTATATAGTGGTATTATTCCCATTAATGAATCCTGATTCCTGGTAGCCCATTAGAGGGGCTAAATTAATCTTTCCTTGAAATTTATTTATTCGCGTAAACTAGTGACTGAATTCATAAAAGTGAACTTGGTTAAATCGCAAAATATAAATTACGATTTACGAATGCAGGTGTGATTTCTTGCTCCTTTTCCGCTTTCTTATTCCCCCCTCCCCCCATTTTTTTTTTCCCGTTAACCCTTCTTAACTCACGTGTGTGGTAACTTAGGGCTTGGGTTAGCCATTTAGTTCTGTAATTGAAATTTTCTATCCCAAAATTTCTTAACACGTTTTTTATTCAAAGTTAATAAACCATTATTGAAATTTCATGGTTGCAAGGTCCACCACCGGAGCCACCCTTATCAGTAACCATCCATTACTATCTGCCACCAAATCACAATATGGAAGGGTCACACTGTCAGATGTAAAACGGAAAGAGGAACGAGCCAAAAGTTTTGTATTCGGATTTTCTGAACAAAGTGAAATTTTTTCTTTCTTATGGCAGAGCTCTAAGCCTCTAATACTATGTTAACAAACATGACAAACTTCAAATAGTAGAGGCAAGCAAATAAAATAGAATCAATAAAAGGTAACTGTACCCTGATAGATCGGTAGCCAACCTTCTTCATATAGGGGAAAATCCGATCTACCATGTTATGGTGATAAAGGGCCATCTATCCTTATAGGTCCATAGCTGACCTTTTTCATAGAGGGAAATCTAATCTTCCTAGTTTCTGGATTCTGGCCACGAAATAATCTAATATATATTCACATATTTGTATCCAATCAAACATGTTTTATTATGAAGAAAAAACCGACCAAGCTTATGATAAGGTTATGAAAGACCTTCAACTATGCCCTCACAGGTTTTAGGCCAATCTATATCCGTATGTCGATCTAGAGTATTATCCGTAGGCTGATCGAGCTCATGATAGGAAAAATCCGACCTATTTGTTTGGTTCATAGTGATAATTTACCTAAAATATAACATAAAGATAAAAATTGCCCACTGCCTTACAAGGTAAAAAGGAAATGAGAATGTCTATATAGGCGGAATAAAAAGATAATGGAGATAATGCCGAAATGTTTAGATCATGGTACAAATATGGACCGAAAAATCAGAGTGGAGGAATAAACAATTAGGTTAAATCAGAAAAGGACGCTCCAAAAGAGGGGTAGATGAAAAACTAGAAAAAAAAAGAAAAGAAAAGAAGCACAAGAATAAAAAATAGAGCCTTTTGAGTGCTCCGGTGACTAGATCAATCTTGTGACCGGAACAATAATTGATTCAATGAATGAGATTGAGTATACAAGTATATTACAATATGCTTTATATACAAGAAGAATACTTACTAATTCTACTAAACAACCAAATTCTTCTAGCTGTCCCGAATTAAATTTCCAATACAATGTATATATTTCCTTGCACAGGATGCATCCACTATCACACCAATTTTCTCTATCCAAATGATCATGATCCAAAGATAAATAAATAATAGGAAACAAAGTGGAAAAATTTTCTAGATTGAGAAATATAATTCCATTGTAACACGAGACAATTATGAAATTATGTAGGGTTCCAAGGCTAGCATTCATGTTGGATAAATTGTCTCATATCAACCACGCATAATTTGCAACTATACAAGGACATAATGCTTATACTGAACAAAAAATGCAACCCGATCTTAGTGGAAGCAAATGGAAAAATGTACACGATTTCAATGAGATCGACAACACCAACAAACTGATTGACAGTGAATCAATTAACAGTGGGAGGTACTAGATGAGGATTTAGCATGGCGTGCCACAAAAGACTCAACAAGTGAGTTCACAAGGTGAGGTGCTTCATCCTTCATGAAGTACACAATTAATAAAGTGAGAAAATTGTCAAAAACATAATGACGTTAAACATTTAACGAGATATCACCATTTTTAATGTTGGAACAGATCCTAAAGAATAGAAATTAAACGAGCAAATACATGTACCAAAAACAAGGACAACAAATTTTATTAGCGATATTATCTACCAAGATTATTGAGATTCTACTAGATGTGAATTTGACTATGGGGTGAAGTTAAATGGTCCTTCCTTTTATTTTATTATGAAAATTTGAATAGTCCTTAATAATTTTAACAATTCTTGTGTCTCTCAAATTAAAAAATACTTCTTTAATAATCCTTGCTATTTATTTTCCTTCAGAAAAAGGAGATTTTTTAGGCATGTCACTTTAAAAGGACACCCAAAATTTAGGATTGTAAACTACACATGAAACTACTAACTAGCCCATAAATCATAATGAAGGGTGAGGAATCAAGATCCTCTCCATTTCTTTTCTTCTCCATTTCTTCCATTGCTAAAGTTTTGGGCATATAAATGAAATGGACATGATAAACATTTGATGGAGAGTACCATTTATTTCTCCAGAATCATAGTAATGGAAGAAATGAGAGAATCTTTTACCCAAGGTGACAGGGTGGCAAGTATAACTATGGGATTAGGATAATATGATTGATCCCAAGAAAATAATTAATTTGACACTAAGAAAGCCAATATCTTAATTTAGAGCTTTTCCGAGACAAATTGAATTTGGCAAGGCCTTCCTGGAGATAGTGAGAGCCAGACATGAAACTAGTTAACCAAGTAGTAAAGGAACCTTCCTTAGCACCAAAACATATTAATACTATTTGATACCTTCCAATAAACTTAAGTTGTTAATATTCACTGTTGAACTTGAGTGCCATTGAAGAGTGATTGATGAATGTTGAAACTAGACTAGTTATAGGTAAATTGATAGGTATTCCCATGTACAGTCATATTCTAAACACCTTACATAAATAGACATTCTCACTTTGTCTTTCTCTCTCCATTTTTCTCTTGCTATGGATTCTTTGTTTTCAATTCTGAAGTCTGAACATGCCATGGTGCTAATATGTTGGCAATATATATTTTCCTAGTGAACTTTAAGTTGATACAAACTGAAGTAAGGCATGAGAAAAAATGAAAATAATCTCCACTTTAAACATGCTAACTCAAAACTCTTACATGACATGTATATGCGGGGCAAGCAAGGGCATGACACATGTGAGTGAGAGGGAGAGAGAGAGAGAAAGAGAGCAAGAGAGAGAACCTGGGGGCAATGTCCAACATTTGGAAGGACAATGAAGTCTTCAACAGAATCAAAATTTTCATAATTTCTTCCAAGTTCAATTGGTTCCCAAGGATCCTTGTCACCCCATGCTATCAAAACTGGGCACTAGAAGAAGAGAAATTACATGAATTATTATGTTTGTTGGATTTTGGCTTCTCAAACTTACATTCACTTGTTTTATTCCCACTTGCTCACCTACTGGTGTTTGGAAGCTTACCTTTACTTGGGGTAGTAGTTCCTCAGGAAGAGGGCCACCTGAGTAACAAATAAACTCAAGAAAGACCTCTGCAGCTCCAGGTTCCAGACCGGGACTAAGGATGATCTGCACTAGCTCATCTGTCACCTTGGAGGTGTCATGATAGCACTGTCAAAGCAATTCATAAGCAATCATTACAATTGCAGTAAGTGCATCCTAAGTTTTCAAATTACAATGCATGATACACCTCGGAGCTGGCCCCTTGCAGCACCAGTGATAGATATCCATCCATAATACTATGGGTGTACATTAAGAAAACTAGGAGGGAATGTAGGAGATTAGAGGCTGTTTTGGGTAGTGTGCAAGGGAAGCATAATCAGCACATAGCGAGGGTGCCTAGTAACAACCTGTCCATGTGACAGGTAGGGCCAGGAAACAGATTTGGGTAATGGGAATGAGATGAAGGGAAAAGAGTGCAGAGGGGAAAGGCAGAGAATTGTGGGTAATGTTTGGGAAGGGAGGACGCCCACCCACCACCCCTCCAAGTGCCTACACTGTTTCTACATTTATTTTGTGCTCCTGTTTTGTAAGTGTAAATTTGTTTTTGTGAATCTCATTCTGTATTCTGGAATTATTCCCATTTTCTGTAGTCAAATACCTAGGCTCTGTCTTATAAATCAGATTAATTTAAATTTATTCTAATCCATTAGCAGTCTCATCCTATGGCATTTCCTTTTCTTTTTTCAGTCCATCATACTTTTAAGGTGAGTTTTTAAACAGATGAAATTGTCTGTTAAGCTAGAGGAGTACCTGACAAAGAATGTTCCTCACAGATTCTTTTGTGGCTACAGCTTTATAGAAGAATTTGCCTACAGCAGTATCCCTACAGCATAAAGCATGATAATGGGTAAATCCTCTGTCAAGCCTTGAAAACTATGAAGTCCCGATAAAGAAACTTGTGTTTCATTTAAGGGTGTGCAAAAAAACTGAATCAAACCGATTTGAATTATAAAAACCAAAATATTTTTTAAAAATACCAACCTGGATCACTTTGTAAAAGTAAACCATACAAGAGTATAAAGTGGATAACCGAGTTAAATCAAACTAATTCACTTTATAAAAAATGGTTCAGTTAACTGAATTGTTTTTTATAAAATGGTCCGATTCGGATGAAATTGAACCGCGTGATAGACCAATTTTGTATATCTTTTTATGCATTATTTTTTGGTTTATTTGACTTTTATTAATATCATATTGTTATATATTAGCATTGATTTTTCCTAGCGAGTCATTTTGGTCTTAATTGTGAATTTTAGTTAATTTTCGTAATTTTTTCCTGATTTGACATTATTTTTTATGCAGACCATATCTAGAGCTCCCAACGTTGGATTTGGACATTTTTGGCGTCTCTAGAAAGATAAGAGAGAGCTCTACAACTTTTCTATTGGGAGCAAAGACCAGTTCAGACATTAAGTGACCAAAAAATGCATTGCAAAGTTGCGACCCTACACAATATTTTCTTTTTATTTTTTGATTGTAATGTTAGGATTTGTTTAGTGATGTAATTAATTGATTTAATGGTTGGGCCTTTAATTACTCATATTAGGCCCATTAGTGTAGTCTATAAATAAGTGTAACACATGTACACTTACATCATATACCTCATTTTTTTAGAAATTGAGTTAATTCTCCTAGAAGTCTCTCAAAACTCTCTATCTGATTTTCTCTCTTGCTTACATGCATTGGATTACTAAACATGATTATGATGCATGACCAACTTGTTAATCGATTCTAAGTTTCAATAACTACAGTAAAATTCGAATTGCCAATCCTTTTACCGAACGAACTCTCTATTTCTCTTCTTAGTTTAGGTTTTTCTTTTATTTTTCATGATTATGAATTTCATTTTGGATCTAGAACAAAAATTGAAGATTAATTTTAGATCTAAATTTAGATTTAGTTTAGACCTAAAATAACCTAAATCGTCTAATTCAATTGTTCACTATTCTTGAATTTTATTAAAATTATGAAATCTTGATTGCGTTTCATGTTTTGAGCTCGGCACTAAAGCGCTAGACGACATCGGATGAGCGTTACAAGACATCGGCCAAAACAAAGGCCCACTATCTGAACGGATCACAACCGACCTCGGGTCCAAGGCCTAGATAAACCCTAATTCAGCATTACATATACAAGACCCATACACTCACAAATACTAACTTTAGCATTGGAGTCTCTTTTGCAGGTACCACCCCCAGTTCGGAACAGCCGACGTACCCAGCGAAGGAGGTTCACCAATCTTGCCCAGCAGATCGTCCCTCGCGACCGATCTCCGGTAAGAACAGATGAAATTCATAAGTCTAGATTTAGATCTGTTTTTTTTATTAAGTTCGTGATGAATTAGGTTGATTGAGAATTCAAATTTATTATTAAACTATGAAAATTTTATTGTACAGATTGAAACCTTGAATCCATATTTCTCCAATTGAATTTTCAATTCCTAATTCTCTATTTGTTGATTAAATATTGTTTAATTTTTAAAAATTCACTTCCTAATTGCGTGATAAAATAAAAATTTAATGTGTTTGTGTTGTGAAGAATGACCTAGGTTATTTTTTATATTGTAAATTTTTAAGATAAATCTAGTTTATTTTTAATAGTGACTAAACAAAGCTATTAGCCTATTACTATGAACAACCCTAGTTTCATTTTTACCTAAGCAATCTCTGGAATGATCTGATGAAAGGTCTTCCATACCAAGGCTGCTTCTTTATATGAAGCATACGTAGAGATATATTGAGAAGGAGAATGCCCCGGCAAATGTGAGGTGCTAGCACAGCTGCCTGAAGACCAACAACTCCTGTAGAACAAATTTTTAGTTATAGCATGAAATCTAAAATATCGGAATAATGAATGGATCAGCGTGTATGAAGAGAAATTTAAAATAATCCAAGCAGAGATTTATTATGAAGGCACATGAAAAGGTTCACCTCCAATAGAATTGCATATAAAGAATGGTTGATCCTTGATGACATCAAGACAAAACTCATTTAACTGAGAGGCCCATGTCTCAAAAGTGTAAAAGGAAGGGTCTCTGATTTGACGAGGATTTGGTTTATCTGAATATCCATATCCAATAAGATCAATGGAGTAAACCCGGTGGGATTGTGCAAGAACTGAAATATTATTCCTCCAGTGGTCACTGCAATTGAAGTAAACTCAACTACTTAGTGACACAAAGTCAAAATAACTGCAGACCTCACCTAGCTAATAGCTAAAAAAGAGCATGCCCACGTTTCTTTCTAAAGCATATATGTAGAAAGCAAACAATTATGTTATGGCCTCCGCATGCAACCACGAGACCGAATTCGAAAAGAGCAGCAATTATTATTTGAAGAATGTAGAGAGACGTACCTGTTAGCTCCAAAACCATGAACTAAAAGTAGTGCAGGGCCATTGTTCCCAGAATGTTGATATCGAATAGAATAACCCCTCCAATTCCACACGCTACAAGTACAATATTTTTATTTACTGTTTAAAAAAGCAGAAAAATTAATCATGTGATTCAGAAAGAAAATTACCGGGTTTGAACCTGGAGCTCTGCTTTGCAAACAATTTGACGGAGAAAATGGATTTTATTTGGAATTGGAGAGCTGTAGCGAGGGAAAGTGAGACTGTTGCTGGTGAATGCCAATGCCACGCCCACGCCCATGGCCATGTCCTTTCTTTTCTACGCTCATTCACTTCCCCTTTCTATCTCATTTCTCGTCGCTCCATTCCTCTGCTCTACTACACGCCACGTACCTTAACTCCCTTCCTCTGCTCCAACACAAATTATCCATTCTAACTTAAATCCTAATTGCATAATTTCTAAAACATGTCTGACTTATCATAATTTTCTTAATTAAAGTTCACTAAATTGCATTCCCTTAATTTAATTACAAGATTTTAGTTATAATTGTTGGTGTAAAAAAACTTTATTATATTAATATTATTATACACACAAAACAATTAATTATTTTTTTAATAAAATTAAAATAAATGCTAAATAATATATATATATATATATATAATATTTTAAAATGGGTGCTCTCTTCGGTAAAATCAATTTACTAAAAAAATATATACATTATAGTATTTTACTAGTTCGTTTATTCATAGTTCTTGTTCGTATAATATAGAAAAAAAATAGATTAAACATGAGTATTTTTATACAGTTACTACATATGATAATTTAATTAATTTTTATAATAATTATTTTAAAAATTATATAACATAAAGATATTAAAAAGTTTTATAATTATCCATAATCAACCATGTAACATAAGGAAGATGGTGAGAAAGCATTTAGTAAATCACGATTCAAATGTTTTTATGACTTTCTCTAACTAATCGTAGCTGACTGGCAGCTGAACATGGATCTTTTCAAAGGTAAAGATTTGAGAAAAGTTGACTTTTAAATTATTAATGATGTAATAATGTATTTTATTTTTTATAATAATATTGGTATAAAATATCTATTATCAAAATAAGTGTTAAATTTTCATACCAAGATTATGAGTACACATAAAGTGAATTTTTAAAAGACTGAACTAAGCGTTTAAGTTTAGTTATATATATATATATATATTTAGGAACAAAAAGTCTTTTTATGAAATTTTCTTAAATAATAATATTTATTAAAAAAGTCCCTTAATAATCTATCTTTTTCAATGTATTATTTCAAATTTTATTTATAAGTTCAATTTTAATATTTATAAAGCAAATAATCAACAATTAAAAATAACATTGTATCACATTAGAAATCATGAGTAAACAAACATTTTATCCTTGAATTTGTCATGTGTTAATATAATGGTTCTTGAAACTAAAAAATTTGTAAATAAGTGTCTAAAAGTAAAAATTGACAAAATTAATAAATAAATAAATAAATAAATAAATAACTCTGAAGTGTAAAAGGGAAGTCTAATGAAGAGCACTATAGAAAATTAACACATAAAGAGATATATTTGATAAGCACGTTATATTGACATGGCAACGTATGTTTGTGTTGTTTAGGTAAGTAAAACTAAGTAAAATTGGATCAGGGCTAACTTAAGGTCCAAGTAGATAAAGTAAGGGCTTTAGGCCTCCAAAAAATTTTAAAACATTAATATACTACTATAAAATTAAAAATATTTAATTTTGAAATTATGTTTAAAATAAATTTTAATTAAAAATTTAAAATATCCTTACTGACTATTAAATTTGTATTGATACTAAATACTATTTAATGAATAATGATTTTAGAAATTCTCCTAATCAATAATATTATTTTATTTTTTAAAAAAGATATTAAATAATTATTTTAATAAGTAAAAAAACACTAAAATTCTTTAATAAATATCTCTTTCTATTATTCATGTCTATCTTCTTCTTTTCTTTTTTTCTATCTCTTTGACTACTTCCTGCCTTCTTTGCTTCAATTTGAGTTTTTGACATTTATTTTGAGTGTCATTAACCTATTATCTAATTATTATATATTTCTGTGTGTATCTATTTGAAAGACTTTGAAGGTAAAGGAAATTGAAATTTCGTTAAAATTTTTAGTTTTTACTTTATATCGATACAATGACACATTCAAAAAGAAAACACAAACTCTAATTTCTTTTCCCTCCAATTCCCTTATTATGTTTTTTATACACATTAAAAAAATATATTACCTAAGAAATAAGAAAAGAGATAAGTATAAATATAATGTTATATAATATTATAGAAAAAATCACTAGTGCAAAAATTAGATTTAAAATCGGAGTTTTAAGATCGGTTAAAAGATAACCGATCTTAAAAGTGACGCAGTAACAATTTTGTAAATAATATGAACACTTTTAAGATCGATTAAATTTTAACCGATCTTAAAAGTACTTTTAAGATCGGTTATTTTATGACCGATTTTAAAAGTGCTACTTTTAAAATCGGTTATTTAAGAACTGATTTTAAAAGTATCGTCAGAAACCTTTTATCTTTCCTTCCATTCTCATTATTTTTGATTTTTTCCTCCATTCCTTTTTTTACTCCCTCGTGCTCTCATCTAAAGTCTTCAACTTTTCATTTTTTTTGCAAGACTACTATATCAAGGTAACATTCTTATGTTCTTCTCGTTGTTGGTTTATTCTAGTAAATTTTGAATTTAGGATTCTGGAAGGAGAACGGCCCGTTCTACAAGGAGAACGGCCCGTTTTGCAAGGAGAACGACCCGTTTTGCAAGGAGAACGACTCGTTTTGAATAGGTTTTAACTCATGACAAACTATGTTGGAACGGATTGTTCCAAACGACAATTTTAGGCCTTTTTTAACAACCTAGAACGGCCTGTTCCAGTTTTGAAACTACCCGTTCTAGTTTTATTTTTTTCGAAACCAAAACTTTTCAGATCGGTTATAAAACAACTAATCTTAAAAATTAACTTTTAAAATCAGTTAAATATCTGATTTTAAAAATCTAACTTTCAAAATCGACTCTTTTAAAATCGGTTAGAGAATCAATTTTAAAAGTTAAAAATAACTAATTTTAAAAGTTTCATTTTTCACTAGTAAATAATTAATAAGTACTCATATTTTTTTTTCAAGAAGTATTAATAGAGTATAATATATATATATATATATATATATATATATATATATATATGAATTGTAGTCTATATTTTTTTTATTGATATTAAAGTCTATATATATAACATCACATTTAATATTATTATACAATAATTTAGGTCTTACACATACAATATTCATGACTAGGGATCCGTGCAAGACGAATCATGTATGTTTTATTTTTAATCAAACTATTCAATAGATTTCCGTAAGAAACTTGTTAAATTTTGGTGATTATTTTAGTAGAAAGCGATAATGACGGACTGCACAGCATGAATGGGTTTGACAGTGTATGAGCTAAATCCTGCCATTTTGATCACATATTCCCACTCTTTGAGTGTGCGCTCTTTGCCGAAGTTAGTGTGCGCCATCATGACCATGTCCAACATCAATCCTACGTCATTCAACCCGTCATGTTTCCCTTCTTCAATCACCGACTCCACAATAATAACCCTTCCATTTTCCTTTGGT